AAGAAGAAGAAGAAGAAGAAGAAGAAGAAGAAGAAGAAGAAGAAGAAGAAGAAGAAGAAGAAGAAGAAGAAGCTTACCTGAAATACAGTGAGAATGGCAGTGGGAAAGGTATCAAAGTTGGTAGTTGGTGTTTCATCATTGAAGTGAAACCTAGGAAGAGGCTGAGTATTAATATGTAGGTCACCCCGGAACATAGAACTTTGAGGGCCCACCCCACCTGCCAGAAAACACAAAGAAAATGGAAACATTCCATAGTTGGTGAAATGCTGGCTCCCCAGCGATCGGTTTATCCGACAGAGAGACTTTTGGATCCAACTTACTGCCCACCAAAAAGCTGCATCCCCAGCAAGGCAAACACGACAATGAAGAGGAAGAGAAGGAACAGCAGGCTAATGATGGATTTCATCGAATTCAGTAAGGAGACCACCAAGTTCCTCAAAGAGTTCCAGTACCTAGGATGTCAAAATAAACCAACTTGCAATGATTACGATAGCAACTCGTTGATTGTTAGTTGGTCAGCAAAAGCTATCTTCCCTCTCCCCTCAGTTTTCCTCTCACTTTAGAAAGAGAAACTCTTGATTCCCTATCTCTGCTGGAGGTGGGAAGAGAGAGGTAACCTCAACCTTAACTCTGTTTTGGATTCAGAGAACCCTATGGGCCTCGATGAAGAGCTAACTTTGAAAGAGAGCAAATCAAACGGTCTGTTTTCCTGAGGCTTCAATGAGCAAGTTCAGATGGCCCCTTAGGACCCCAGGCTTGGATATTGTATGAACACAACTCACCAGAAAATGTGTGTGTGTGTGGGAACCATAGGGAAGGTAAAGGGTTCAATTAAGAATCCTACATCTGAGACACAGACGAGACATTCTAAGTTCTGGAGGGCGGTTGAACTCCATTTTGTGCAATTGTTACTAAACCTCTTTCTGTTCCTCTAAGGGCCTTCCCCCATTTACAACTAACCAACCATAGAAGAGTTAAGACTTTAGGCACCTCCAGTCCCCTAATCATCTTTGTTGCTCTTCTCTGCACTCTTTTCTAGAGTCTCAGCATCTTTTTTACATCCTGGCGACCAAAACTGGACACAATATTCCAAGTGTGGCCTCACCAAGGCCTTATAAAGGGGCATGAACACTTCACGTGATCTTGATTCTGTCCCTCTGATGATGCAGCCTAGAACTGTGTTGGCTTTTTTGGCAGCTGCTGCACATGGCTGGCTCATATGTAAATGGTTGTCCACTAATCAGCTGAAAATGGGGTGGACAGGCAACAGGATCAGCAAAACAAGGGGCACATTTTTAAACCGAAGCAAACTGGCATGCATCAATTCGCCTGAAACCTACTTGGTGACTTTGAAGATCCTCAACAGTCGGAGGGCTCTGAGCACACTGATGCCAAAAGAAGTCCCAGGTTTTACCACAGCCCAGATGACTTCAAAGATGCTTCCGACAATCACCTGCACAAGAGCAAAAGGTGATGGGTTCAAGACAAGAAAAAGGAAATTAAGAGTGGACAGCCCTCCCACAACAGAGGGGAAAGGATACGGCACTACCTGTCTCCTGCTTACAACCCAGCCCTTTCTACAGTTCCAAGACAGTTCTGCATCCATGTTGCATTTTTCAGGTGAATAAATCTCCAAGTAGTCTCATTGACTCTCAGAAAGAGCGCAAATGATCAGAGGACTGCAAGGAATATAAATCCTTCCATCCTCCACCATTGTTCAGTCAGAACTGAAGAAGCTTCTTGGATGAGAAGTGAAACATCTTCAAGGGAAAAGCCCAGTTGCCTCTTGAAAAAAAAAAGTACCTTGGGGACAGCCATGACCTGGAAGCCTGAGAACCTCAATTTTACTCCACAGACAGCTTGTTTTACACATTATGCAGAGGCAAAATGTATTTTTGGTTTGGCTTCCCAGCAGAAATTTAATCCTCTGACACAACTATGTAATACACCCATTTATTCAATGCTACTTCATCGTCCTACATCGTATTTCTAGGCACAGAGTACAAAAAACAGTCTAAGTGCACATAAAAACTGAATATGTATTTAAAAATTGGGTATGCTAAGTGTTTCCATTCTGCCAACAAGACCAGGTTTAAATGAGTTGTCCCTCTTTCCTTTGCTGGCAACTTGCTCTTCAGATTACACTCAGCTTCACTTTTTTTTTAAAGCCAATGACATATCTTTGCTATTTTGTTCTTTGAAAAAAAAGGGTTGGGGTTTTTTTTGTTTCCTTTTCCAGTTCAGCCCAGATGGTCAGAAAATAAATAGGGCAAGATAGAATAATACTAATAATATGAAGAATATGAAGAAGAATAAGAGGAGGAGGAGGAGGAGGAGGAGGAGGAGGAGGAGGAGGAGGAGGAGGAGGAGGAGGAGGAGGAAGGAAGGAAGGAAGGAGTGGAACTCCTGGTGTTTTTTTTTTTACAAAACTACCTGGGCTATTCAGCATGTTACACTTGAATTGCAACTATAGGAGCGAACACAGAAATTATCTTAACTTGAATCTGGTGTTGTTGTTTTTTATTTAAACCAGGATCACAAGGCAGCTATGAGATGCTGGTCTGTCGAGCAAGAAAAACCAGCACATACTTGAATAAAATGGAAGGAGGGGGATGCTTATGCCCCATGCTCTTCTGACACAGTCCTAAAAATAGCACACACTTCTATCGGTCAGTACCCGGAATTCTTCTCATTCTCATTGTAAGCGGTCATTTGCAACCTCTTATAAAATAGAGAAGGGGCTTACTAGTTTGCAGAAATACAGTAAAAGAGGGAAATGAGGGCACCGTCATCTTAATGTATGGGAGGAATATATCGATCGTGATGGGAAAGAGTTCACTTGCTGGAATGCATGTAACCCCATCCTAGTCTATGTAATCAATCTTACAGAAGCATCTCAGACAAGGACCACTTTTTCATTCGAAGCAGAGGCCAAGATCCTGGTATTTGTCATGCTCCAGTCTTGAACTTGCTAAGTCTTGCAGAACAGAGATGTGCAACTAAGGAATCCAGTTTCTCCTCGATTCCTCTATGGTCAACAACCCGCTGCTCTGGAGCCGCATGTGGCTCTTTCATCCCTCTGCTGTGGCTCCATGTCGCTCAAAATATGTGTCACAGCCACCAATGTGCGACACCACCGGCACACGATTTATTAAGCTTTTCGGTAGGCCAACCATGATTAAATCCAAGAAAAGAAAAGTTTCAGAAGAAAACAGAATGTTTAATTCAACTACAGATGCTAGTTTTGTGGCCACTCAGGAAATAGTCAGGCATGGGAAGGGTTTTTGTGGCTCCCGGACTTTTCTGTGGGTCTCAATGGCTCTTGGAGTGTTTAAGGTTGCCGATCCCTGCTCTATGGGCATGGATGTAGACTCGGGAGGGAGTAAAAGTCTAGTAGAGAAATACGATGCAGCCTGTGACTGGGAACTAACTCATCTTATTAGCTATCATAGTGTTGTGACCTGTTGGCTGCCAGCTCCTCTGGCAGCCAAATCAGAGGAGGAGGAGATGTGGGAGTCAGGATTGGCATCAGGGCAACCTGGGAGCTCCGAGGGGGAAGAGGGAATGGAGCTGGCAGAGAGAGAGAGAGAGAGACAGACAGAGGCCTGGGCCCTCTGTCAACCCTCAGATGGAGAGTCAACAGCCCCCAGGAGTGGCGGTGGCTGATGAGGAAGAGGAGGAACAGCTGGGTCCAGTGCCTGATGTGCGGATGCGCAGAAGGCAGAGGAGAGGAGAGCAGTGGAAATCTATGGGCCAGGAAGAGAAATCAAGTACATTATTGCTTAGAAGTCTCCATAAATGTGTTCATGAAGTCACCAGGAGTTGAGGGTCATTCAAGGATTGGAGATTTCACTTCCACCTTTTTAATGAGAGAAGGTCATCTATGGAGATTCTCAAACATCCAGGTCCTGGTTGTTGTTCCAAAGACGCTTTTCACATTTCACATTTGCAGAAGATCTCAAATGATTCTGCCACCAGGGTTTCTTCCAAAAGTTTCTTGGTGCTTCTCCCCCACTCCTTTGAAAATGTTTCGCTTCTCATCCAAGGACCTTCTTCACTTCTTGAAGTCCCAAAGGGGGAAAAATCCATTTGTCTTTTGAAAAAAGCACCTGTGGGAGGATCACCTGAGATCTTTTGCAAATGTGGAGAAGAAGCTATAAAGTTTCATTTATACGAAGGGTTCCTATGTGGGGTGGCCACTTTTCTTATTTTAAAACAGATACATCTCCATGGAAACAGTAGCGGAAGACAGATTCCCGTTTTAAAGCATTATCTGAGTATGAGAGGAGCAGGAAAACTCAGAATTGGCTCTTCAATTTTGGGGCAGCATCTTCAGCTGACAGATACACCCACATCATCTACAGGTGGCTTTCTTCATTACCTATGAAGACCCGGTTGTCATCCAGGTCATGGTTGTCCCAAATGTGCTTTTTCAAGGGGCAACTGGATTTTGTTTCTCCTTGAAGACGTTTCGCTTCTCATCTAGGAAGCTTCTTCCATTCTGACTGAATGGTGGATGATGGAAGGATTTATATTCCTTGCAGTCCTCTGGTCGTTAGTGCTCTTTCTGAGAGTCATTAGGCCACTTGGAAGTTTATCTCTGCCCTCAGGGTCACCTGAATATTGCAAATGGCTGTGGAACCTCGGCATTGCTGGAAGGACTGTGTTGTATACAGGAGACAGGTGTGTCATATTCCTTCCCCAATCAGAACTGTAGGAGCTTCTTGGATGAGAAGTGAAACATCTTCAAGGAAAAACAAAGGTGCCTCATGAAAAAGCACCTTTAGGACATGAGTTATATGTGTGAGCTAACCAATCAAGTCAACACCCAACCATGTGTGATTTAGCACCAACTGAATTCTCCAAGCCTATTTCAAGGGCTGATTCATAGAGGGAGCAAGCCCGTTGCAATGTTGATTGTGGCCAATTGGGTCCTGAGTGAGCAGTCAGAGCTGACAGCTTGATTTCAGCCATCGATGCCAACAATGAATCCAGCCTGGCTTCAGGGTCTGATGGTGGTTTCTCCTTCGAGACCTGCCGGGGAAGTAGCTTAATTGGTGTCACTTATGCCGGTAGCAAATGGACATCTGCCAAAGGCTATTTTTCCATTCTTGCAAATATGACACACGGAAGCCACAGGGTCAGAATAATCCCTCCGGGGTTTTGCGAAGGAACACTTCAGAAAAACAGACCATAACAATATTGCACTACCTTCTCTGGCACAGACCTTTGGCTGAGTGCCCTACATGCACAGCAACGAACAGCCAGCTTTTGGGAGCACCATTCTGTGCAGATTCAAGATTTGACTTGAAAATAGAGCTCTCTGCTAACCATTAAGAATACAGTTGACAGTACATTGGAGCAAGGAAAGAAAGTTAGCTGGAAGACTTTCACTCAAGGATAACTAGATCTAGAACATTTAGAGCTAAATTTATGCCACCTACATCTATGCCGTTTAGATCTAGATTTATACCATCTAGATCTAGGCCATTTATATCTAGATCTAAACAATCTAGATATAGACAATCCTACATCTAGACACAATCCTTCCTACCTGTTCACCTATGGGGACACCATGCATAAAATCATGATCGTGCAAGAGAGGCCTTGCGTCCTGCTCTCCTTACCCCAAAGTCAAAGCAATTGAACGAGGAATGGAAGTAGTTCCTTGGCCCCAGACCGTACATCTTCAGAGTCATCTCAGTGAGGAACAAACCCAGGAAGACAAATTCAGCAAAATCTAGAAGGAAGTAGCAGAAAATGAGCCATAGGTCAGACCCAACTGGTGGGGAGGGACTCATTCATTGGAAAGCAATTGTAAATATTTCACAGAGAACCAGGGTCTCCTGACCACCAGAAGCAACGTTCTGGAGAGAAAACCCAACCTCACCAAACAATTCTCTTTCTTATTCTGTATTTATCTTCTTAATTCAATTGTATTGGTTTCTCCACCAATGCAGAAGATGTCAAACTGAAAGGTTTCAATGAATAACAGAATTGGAGGGGACCTAGTCCAACCCCGCCACCCTAACCCGTGCTCAAGCAGGAAGCCCCGCACCACTTGGGACAAATGGTTATCCAATCTCTTCTTAAAATCCCCCAGTGAGAGAACTGCTGGAGGCAAGTTGGCCCATTGATGAATTGTTCTAATTGTCAGGCAACCTCTGCTCAGTTCTAGGTTGGTTCTCTCCTTGATTGGTTTCCCTCCATTGTTTCTTGTCCTGCCCTCAGGGGCTTTGGAGAGTAGCTTCTTCTTTGGGGCAGCCCCTTAAAAATTGGAAGGCTGTCACTTTCTTTTCATTAAATTAGACATACCCAATTCCTGCAAACCATTCTATGTTTTAGCCTTCATCTAGTCATCTGCATTGGTCTTCTCTGAAATCCTCCCCCAGATTTTTTAAAAAGCAAACTTTCTTAAACAAAAAGAAAAGTCACCCACTAGGAGTGTAAATGATTGCCCACAGAGAATTCCAACACTATTTTAGACTTGGTCCAAGACTCCGTGTTGCTAAAGCAACATTGAAATATTGTTCTAGCCTCAGATTGAGCTCTCTCTCAGAATATTATGCCACCCTGGATTGTCTTGTTTTGCTAGAACTTAAACATCTCATATTTCTATTAATCCTTTTTTCACTCTTCTCTCTCTCTCTCTTTTCTTTAAAAGAAAGCTTTTTCACCATGATCCACACATCTCACCATTTGAGTTAAAATCCCAGTACTATTGGGACCTCTCCAACAGCAGAAGAGTTCATAATTATCCATCCATCCATCTTCCTATCCAAGGTCTCCTGTTTTCCACCACCCTTCCAGCTGATGAATCACTGTCACAATTTCTTCTGACCTAACCTTGTCCGTTTAATCAGAAAGCAAATGCAGTTCCATAATATTTGACCATCCCTGGATTTAATAGAGTTCTTTATACAAGAGAAGAGAATTCTTTATTGGCTAAGTATGATTGGACACACAACGAATTTGTCTCCAATGCATACGCTCTCAGTGTACATACAAATAATGAAGTGACAGGTCATAGATCGTAAATCATAGTTATGATAGTTAATCATAAGTGAGTGGTGTGTTGGCCTAGAGGTGGAGCTCCCGCCTCACAATCAGGAGGCTGTGAGTTTGATCCTGGGTAGAGGCAGATATTTCTCTTTCTCTGGGCACATTGAGAATATATCTGCTGAACAAAACTCCGCTTTGGCGATAAGAAGGGCATCTGGCCAGTAACATTGGAGCTTTCTTCTTTAGACAGAAGCCTTCTCTTTTGCAAAGGGGAAGAAAGAAGGGGAAGAGGAGAGCTGGCTACAAATAATTCAATTCGATTTTTAAAACCGGTACTGCTGCTAAAAGGACACCCGAGCTGTTTTCTACCCAATACCTCTGAACAAGATCATTAGCAGTTTCTCTCTCATTGTCTCATCACTAATAGATTAATGCCATTTCTGTTGAACTTCTCGAAGTCTGGAGGGCTTTGCAATTAAGTCTATCCAGTTCTTGGCTGCTCCAGACTTTTCTGGAAACCATCAAGTGTGCAAAAGGACTGTTAATATTTTCCTCTTTGGCTCTTCCAGAATTCACACCTAAAATATTCAGCAGACATAAGAGAAGAGTGGTGGCTTTGAAGACTTCCCCTGTTCTGCATACTGATATCCACAGAGATGTAGCTTTGCAGGCAAACACCATCTCATCAAGGCACTCATTACCTTGCATTCCTCAGAATGCACGACGGCCAAGAAAATACTTGAAGTGTGCCGCAATTTGGGTCCTTACAGAACCTTATAGAATTAGAAGGTACCTTGTAGGTCATCTAGTCCAACCTCCCTGCTCAAGCAGGAAACCCTGCTATACCACCATTCCAGACATAATGGTTGTCCAACCTGGGGCGTGGCACGAAGGCAACACAGTCAGAGAACAGGGATGAATCCCTTTATTTGCTTCAACTTTGTTCCCAACTTCCCGTTTACTCTCCGGCCTGGAGAAAAGCTTCCCCACAAACCTTCAGCAGCCTTTGGCTGCAGATACTCCAGTCCAAATGCTGTAAGTAGAATGACTGCAGTCAATCACTCCAGCAGGGCAAGATAACGAGTCCAGGAAGCGAAGAATCATGGCAATAATTCCAGCAAGACAAGATAAGCACACAGAAGCACGGCCATAAGTCACACAGGCAGGAGGAATGCCAGGAATGCAGGACACATCTCTCAACACTTGATGGTTCAATGTTTGTTCCCAAGAAACACCCCTCCCAACTGCCTCTCCTTTAAACTCCATCCCCAGGTGTGCCTTGTGAAGGGAATCAGGGCCCTTTCCTCCCTCGTAAGCCACGCAACCCATGTTGCTCTCTTCTGCGTTCTTCCCTGCATGCCTTAGGATGAGGAGGGGGTCTTCCTCTGAACCCCCTCTCCCTTGTTCTACCTCTCCCCTGCTCTGCCCAGCCTGACTTTGCCCTTCCCCAGTTTCCTCCACAGCCAATGCAGCCACTCTCCTGCTCTCTGTCAGCTGTTCGTCTTCCCGCTCAGATTCAGACTCCGGACGGGGACATGACAACCAATCTCATCTTGAAAACCTCCAATGTTGGGGCCCCCACAACTTCTGGAGGCAAGTGGTTACACTGGTTAATTCTTCTCACCATCAGGAAATTTCTCGTCAGTTCTAGGTTGCTTCTCTCCTTGATCAGTTCCCATCCTTACATTATACCCCATATTACATTCCTTGTAATCCACTTCCAGGCTATTTGCTCGACCTGCTTTAAAAGATGCTTCATGCTTTGTTTTCCCTACAAGTGTTTGCTTGGTGTTTTTTTTAAGTCATCAATCCTCGCTTTTCTTGTTCCAGAGATCCATCTTGTTCAACCATCCTCCTCAGACGATGCACCTGTCAGCTATTCACAATACGTCTTCCCTTCCAAAGCTTCCACGCTGTGGAAATATTTCTCTGCTTTTATCCCATTTGTGTGTGTGTGTGTGTGTGTGTGTGTGTGTGTGTGATTAAAATGGGCTCTGCTTTTTCTTTCTTTCTTTCTTTTTTCCTTCGCTCTATGTAGCCTGTATAATTTTTCACTCAATTGGTAATTAACAAGAACATTCTTTCTGACACCAGCTGGGAGATGAATGTCTGTTCATAAGTTCTCTTCTTTTGGGAGGAAAATTTAAAAAAAGAAAGAAAGAAATCATTTCTGGCAAAGTGAACTCTCGTTCCCTTGGTTTTATATTTTATTTTACTTTTTTAAAAGAATAATAAAAAGAAGAAGCAGGGAGGGGGAATGAAAGACAAATGCTCTTTTTAGCCACTTAGCCCCAACTTACATGGAGGAAAAGTTTTAAATCAGAAAAAAATATATCCAATTCTCTGTACTCCCATCACCTTATTATATCCCTTTGTGGGAAAAGAACAAAGGGCTTGCAAACCTCAGGAGAAAAAAAAAAACACCAACCTCTGATTTCGTTCCAAATCATCCCCCAAAAGAGGTCAAGCTTACATTTTGCTTGTTAAGCTTCAAATGTCTCTGGTAACATGGAAATTCTTTTTTTTCCACTTCGCTCAGTGTGTGCAGAAATACCTGAGGGTATTTATTGAGTGCTTGCAAGCCATCCAGTCAGGGTGATGGGTGGGGGTCGTTGCAACCCCCAGTGCCTTGAGAAGAAAAGGCTGAGCATCTTGGAGTGGCCAAAAAGGCAACTGGACTTTCTTGGGGGGTTTTCCCCTGAAAACTTTTCGCTTCTCATCCAAAAAACTTCTTCAGTTCAGTTCTTGGATGAGAAGTGAAACATTTTCAAAAGAGACAAAAACAAGAAAGTCTACTTGGGTTTTGGAGAAGCACCTTTGGGTCCACTGTGACCAGGATGATGGAGAATCTCCAACCTTGTGTGTTCCCAACATTGAAGTAGAATTGACCGAAGAAGACCTTACTTACAAAGGGTAGTGGTGAGACCTTCTGGCTGATCATAATGCACAATGGCCACACACATCGTGTTGAGAGCCACCACACAGAGTACAATCCAGTAGAAGCTCTGGGCCTTCACCATGCGCCGAATGAAGAAGCGGAACATCTTCTCTTTCCGACGGAAGTAGGAGGAGCTTTCGTTCTTGCCACTCTTGAGGCTGGCCCGGGCAAAGGGAGACCCTGCGGTTGTAGAAGAAAGTAGTTCAATCTGAGAGGAGGAGGAGGAGGAGGGGGATCCCAAGATCAAAAATATCCAAGCTGCCATTCATCACGCAAGAGGTCACGTTCCCCACCAGAAGGGGCCAAACTGTATCCCACCAATAGCTGGTCCTCTGTCCTCCTGAAACTATTAGACAATAGTTTTAAATAGTTAAATCATGGAACGCTATTTTGATAAATGGGAGCAACCAGATCTGCACTGGGAGGGTTCAGGCGGACAACTTTATTGTATCCTGCCTATAACACAAGAATCTCCCCACACTGCTCTCCTTCCTTTGAGAACAAACAGACAAGGTTCCATGAAAGATAGTTCCAAGTCTCTTGCAGCTGCACAAGGAATCAAGGCCAGATCCCTGTTTGATCCCTCCTTCTTGCCTGGCTGGCAGTTTGCCAACATATCTTTAGGTAATTCTGGACTTTCTGCCTGGAGCTTCTTGGGTATCATGCAACAAATAATTTTATTTTCTGCACCATGGTTACGGAACTGGGATCCCACAATAGCTTATGCTTTCTTTTTTTAAGGTTGTTGTATTCTCTGGGAGGATAGCCAAATCTATGGGGGTCTTTGTTAAGGTATTGCAATTTAAGAGCTGACCAGATGTGGCTTTGTTTGTCCATGAAAGATTTCACTTTTGTAAATTGGCTCACTTCTAATCAATAATAGTAATAGAAATAATAGCAGGAGTCACCACTGTAATGGGTCTGGTTCCTTTGCTTAGCATAAACACATGCATCACGGCAGCCTTAATCTTTATGATGCTTCCGTGTGTATTTTTCTCCTACATTTGAAGCTCATTATGTCGCCCAACGATCTTTTCTTTAATCAAGCAAATTCTATCTGCTGCCACCACATGTTGCTTTGGAAAGTGATTACGAGGTTCTTTGCAGAACAATTTAAGGGAATTAGAAAACAACTCATAAAACATAACTGTTGGCAAGAGGTCCCTGCCGGTCAGCACTTTTTGGGGCCAGTGGGTAATTATACAGTAAATTTCCCACAAGCTGTCATCAGCACGTCAAGAAATTATCCATATTAAAATGCTATAAAGTCGACACCTTCAGCCGTTAGAGCGTACCATTTCTGAGAAGCAGAAGGAAGCGCACGCATGAGGAAATTCTACAAGCGGGGATGGAATCCAGACGAAGTGAAGTTCTTCCAACGGGAAAGGTTAAACTTCCATTTTACGTAAGACCAAATCTGAGTCACATTCCTAACCTCCCCGGATGTGGAGCTGAGATTCATGGGCTCCCTTTGGCTTATGGGTTTTCAGCAGAAGCTGGGCAGTTCTCTAACAAAGATGTTCTGCTTGTAGTGAGACAGCCTGGTGAGCGTAGGATCATCTTTAGATCTTTTTAAATCCTACAACTCTAGACCTCAGCAAGGTGATACGCCTCAAGCCACGATCCTGAGGACTGTTGCTAACAGACCTGCTGATGGCAACCAGTTCAAATGGTTTGAAAAGGGGAGCCGACTGGATCCAGGAGAATCAAGTGCTCAAGGATCATAAGCAAAAAAGATAAAGGTTTCCCTGTCCAATCCGTGTTCTGACCCAGCTCCCCAAACATGACAAACCCTCTGAAGTGAACTCAAAGATTCCATTATTTGGAGCCTCGGCAAAAAGCTTCTCTCTCACTGTAGGCTGACAAGTCCATCCGGCTGGAAGATGAATAGTTGTCTGCCACATCTATTCGTCTCCACCCCCTGCCTTTTATCCCCAGAGCTAGGGTGGGGTGGCTCTTCCTTCCCAAGGACCGGCCCACAGATTTCCATTGCACTCCTCTCCTCTGCCTTCTGCGCATCTGCGCGTCAGGCACTGGACCCAGCCGCTCTTCCTCTTCCTCTTCATCAGCCACCTCCAGACCTGGAGACTGTTGACTCTCCATCTGAGGGCTGACGGACGGGCCAGGCTCCTCCTCTCTCTCTCCCTCTCTCTCTCCCAGCTCCATTCCCTCCATTCCTGGAGCTCCCAGGTTGCTGTTATCATCCCACTGGAGTGTTACTTATTTATCTACTTGCATCTGCATGCTTTAGAACTGATAGGTTTGGAGCTGGAGGAAGGAATGGGAGCTCACCCATTTGCGCGGCACTCAGGTCTCGAACCCAGGCTGTCAGCTTTCTGGCTGAGAAGCTCAGCATCCTTAGCCACTGAGCCATCGGGCGGCCCCGGATCCTAATTCCACCGATCATAAATGCAAGTTGCATAGAAGGAACACTGGAAAGAAAGTTGCCCTTCCTTTCAGGATTGGGACCTTCCCAAATGCATTCAGTTGGTCCATGGGGGCAAGAAATACCCAAACAAATGAACTCAGAGCCTGATCCAGCTGCGTTCTCCTTAGCACACTCCCAAAAGCGGCATCCTGTAACTAAACATGGGCAACCCCTGGGGTTGAGTTGACAATGTACTTTGCTCATTTATGACCCGGAACCTTTGCCTTTGGAACAGAGACCGTCTACTGAAGAAGGAGAATGTTCCTCATTAGGCTTACCCACAGAGCAAACATCTGTGAAGTGATCTTCTCCTTCTTCAGCGTGAATTAGATCGTTTTTGCTTTTCTTGATTGTCGCTCTTTTCAGCACTAGAAACCAAAAGGGGACAGGAAAGGGGAGAAATAGGCCCATTAGCTTTCAGTAGAGGGGCTCAAACTTCTTCAATTCTCCGAAGCTTTGAGACTCAAATTGCCTGCCATCTAAAGGGTGGCTTCAAAGCAGCCCTGGACTAACCACTTGATGGCCTACCAACCCCTTGACAGTTCCTTTTCTCCATCCTTTTCTGGCAAGAACCATTATTTATTTAGCCTTCCAGCTAAGCACAGCTTCCTCCAACCATCTTTGAACCTCTTCAAAGCAATCAAAACAGGGACCAGGGATGGATGTTTGCCTGGTTGCAAACCAGAACTGTGTCCCCCCACATCGTGGCCTGGCATCAGAATCAAGCGGCGGGGGGATTTCCCCCTTGCGCTGTTCAAACCATAACGTTGCCTCTTTCCAATGGACTGTGATCGGACGATGGCCGTTAGATGACTTCCACAGCTTGAACATAATTTGGCATAAAGCAATTCTGCGTATCAAAAATGCTGTCCCAGTTTCAATTCTCAGGTGTTTTGTGCCTCCAATTCTCACGGACCAATTATTTAGCTAATGAGGAGGGGTCCTTTAAAAAAACCAACCCAAAATCACTAGTGTCATACATCAATGTTCCCACTCCAAATAAAAGTAGATTAGATGTCAACCTTAACTCTGCAACCAGTATGATGAGAACAAAGCTTGCTTGGTGACTTTGGGGGAAGCCATTTTCTCTCTCAGCCCAACGTATCTCCATGGGATTTTGTTGTCATGGGGAAAAAAGAGCATTATATCTATGATTTTGAGTTCCTGAACCAAAGGCACAATATCCATCTGACAAATCAACAAAATGTGGGGTCCTTGGCATTCTCTGAGCTTGCTTGTTTTCTCGCAGACATTCCATGACGCGATTAGGTAACATCATCAGTGCTAAGAGGGAGTGGGTTTTGTGGAAGGAAAGGGAGGAGGAGGAAGAAGATGACTACTGTGGGGTCCTTGGTATTCTATGAGCTTGCTTGTTTTCTTGCAGACATTTCATTACCCAACTAGATAACTTCATCAATGCTAGTAAGGAGTTGGTTTGCTCTCAGTTTATATTTGCCCTGTTGTGTGTTGGTATGGGGGATGACGTTGAATGAAATGTCTGCAATGAAACAACCGAGATCAGAGAGCAGGAAGGACCCTTCATTTCAATCCTGAGCTACAAATATTCTTCTATATTGGAAATCAACAAAATATTGAACCAATCTGTGTGAAAGGCAGATTCTGGGCTGTCCACGGTGCTGAAATATTTTTCTAGTCTCGCTTCTAAATTCTCTTTCTAGTATCTACCCAGCCTTTTGCATTAAAAGCTACAGAGTCAGCACACAAGGAGAGAAATACATAGCTAGGAGACTCACCATCCAAGGGGGATTTCTCTTCAGCATTCTTGTCTTCTTCTGCTAACATCACCTCCTCTGAAAACACAAATATATATATTATATATATTATATATATTATATATATATATACATATAACTCCTCCAAGGTCCCCTCCAACTCTGCTATTCCATTCTACTCTACATTGCCTTCTTTCATTAGAACATAGAATCCTAGGGTGGAAAGGGACTTTGGAGGTCTTCTAGTCCACCCCCTGCTCAAGCTGGAGACCTTTCCCCATTTTACCTGCTTTAAAGATCCATTCCAGGTAGCCGTTAAGTTCTCTCTCGATCTGCTGCTGTCTCCGGAGTTTCAGAAAAGCTCGCCGGTTTTCAACTCTCTCTCGTTCTTTGGCAAACTCACTGCAGAGAAGAAACAGATAAACGAGTGTAACCCTCAGCCCAGCAATTCACTTAACCACCGTGGCAAGGAAGTGATTTTTGCAGCTGCACAGAGGATTTCCTACTTCATTCAAGCTGGTAGGGGGGGATCAAGAGGAAGGAAGGAATCCTGTAGGTGTGTGAATTGTCCCATTGGATTATAGCATTGGAAGGAGCCATTGAGGTCTTCTAGTCTGTCCCCTAATAATAATGCACTAATAAGGTTACCTAGTTGGACAATGAAATGTCTGCAAGAAAGCAACCAAGCTCAGAGAGCCCCAAGGACCTAACAGTCCTCCTCCTCCTCCTCCTCCTCCCTTCTAGCGTGGATGATGTTCCCTAGTTTGGGTCATGAACCTCCTGCAAGAAACCCTCCCAGCTCAGAGAGCCCCAAGGACCCCTCGGTTCAGCCGTGAGCTACGGAGAGTCTCTTCTGTCGGATCTTCTCTCTGGAGTGGGAACTGACCCACCAAACTGGCCAAGGCAGGGCAGAAGAGAAAGAAAAGGCATCCTTACCCCGACAAGACACCCAGGACCAGGTTGAGCATGAAGAAGGAACCGATGATGATGAGGGGGATGAAGTAAAGCCAATTCCACATGTTCCCTGCAGCATCGTTTGTCTGGAAAGCAGAGAGAGAGAGAGAGAGAGGGGGGGGGGGGGGGGGGCAAAGTGAGCAAACACCCAAAACACCCACATAGCCAGAGAGGCCGTACGGGTAGACCTCGACTTACGACCACAACTGACACACACACACCCTCATTTTCCTTGCCAAGGGAGACCTTGGTTAAGGGAAATTTGCTTCTTCTTTATGACCTTTCTTGCCACGGTGGTTGAGTGAATCATTGCACTTGTTCACTTAGTCACCTGGTTGTGAAGTGAATCCAGCTTCCCTGTTGACTTTACTCATCAGGAGGTCACAAAAGGGCACAGCTACCATCGTAAATGTGAATCAATTGCCAAGAGTTTTGATCCTGTGACTGGGGGGGAATGCAGCAATGGCCGTGAGTGTAAAAAAAAGGCCGTACGTCACTTTTTTTCCTGGCGCCAGTGTAACTCCCAATGGTCACTAAACAAACCCTTGTGAGTGGAGGGCAACCTGTGCTGTTTCCAGGAGACAGGAGTCATTCCTCACCTGTTTCCCTGCAGCTGTCAATCTCCATTCAGTCGCCAGGAGTGGAAAGTGACTTTTTTTTAAAAAAAAAATAATTTTATTTTCTACAAACATTCCATCTTTCGTTTAAACATCATTCATGTCTTCTGGGTACAAATATCTTGTGCAATAACCATTACAATTAATACCTATGCATTACTTTTATATCATTGCTCTATTCTTACTTCATACCACTACACATAATGTATCTAACTATGATAACAATCTTAGCATATTTAATTCTCATTCACATTTGCTATTTTTCGCTGATCTTCTTAAATTTTCTAATTTCCATTTTTATTCTCCAGCCATTGATAAAACAATTCCCATAGCATATAGCATTCGGTTTGTTCCTTTCCTTTAATAGCAAGTGTTGGCCTGTTCATTTCTGCACATTCTAATATTTAGGAGTGATGGCACATCGTCCATCAATCAAAGAGAACCTACAATACCATAGCCGAGCTGCTCCGGTGCCAACGGAAACCTCCCCGTTTCTGCGTTTTAGCAAGGAGGCTATGGAACAGTTTTTTCCCCACCTGAATACTTTCTGGCCAGTCAACCAAGGCTGTGTTTAAGGCACTGAACTCCATTTACTCCCTCCTCCCCCTCCCCATTGCCCCCACCCCCAGTGGGGAAATGCCATCCTTGCGAAAAATTCCAAGTCCTTATTAACGTTTGACTAATTCCTTCCCTTCTTCCCCATCCATTTAATATTTCACTCCTCAAAAAGGCTTCTTAAACTCCTACAAAGTGAAGCCAGAGGAACAGACCGGAGGGGCTCTGCAGCCAGCAATTAAGCGTGCAGACAACTGGAGGGGAACATGTAGCCTTCCAGATGTTGGTAAATTTCTTAGTCTCTCCTGGCTGAGCAATGCCCAACATCTGGAGACTCACCGGTTGCTTAAGTAGATCAAAAATTAAAGGCAGGACAAGAAGCGATGGATGGAAATGAATCAAGGAGAGAACCAACCTAGAACTGGGGACGAATTTCCTGACAACTGAGACCAATTAATCAGGGGAAGGGCTTGAGTCCAGAAGTTGTGGTTACTCCAACACTGGAGGTTTTTAAGAAGAGACTGGACAATCATCTGTCTGAAATGCCTTCAGAAGCTGTGGGAGCTTCATCACTGGAGGCTTTCAAGAAGAGACTGGACAGCCCTTTGTCTGAAATGGTGTAGGATCTCCTGCCTAAGCAGGGGGTTGGACTAGATGACCTACAAAGTCCTTTCCAATGCTGTTATTCTGAGGAGAGGAGAGGAGAATAGGATAGGATAGTTGGAAGGGACCCTGGAGGTCTTCTAGTCCAACCCCCTGCTTAGGCAGGAAACCCTACACCATTTCAGACAAAGGGCTGTCCAGTCGCTTCTTGAAAACTTCCAGGGTTGGAGCAGCCACAATCTCTGGAGGCAAGTTGTTCCACTGATTGATTGTCCTCACTGTTACGAGATTCCTCCTTAGTCCCAGGTTGCTTCTCTCCTTGATCAGTTTCCATCCATTGCTTCTTGTCCTGCCCTCTGGTGCAGTTTGCAGAATAGCTTGACCCCCTCCTCTTCTCTGTGGCAGCCCCTGAGATATTGGAAGGCTACTACCATGTCACCCTGCTCCTTCTTTTCATCAGACTAGACATACCCAGTTCCAGTCAATTCAGGTCAAGGATAAATTGGAGGGAAGGCGTGGTGGTCACATCACTAATTGTGGCATTGTGATTTCAGGACTAAATGATCCCCACCTCCTTGAGAACAAAGTGCCTTTTCTCTTGTAAAATAAATAGATTGATTTAATAAAGAAAAGAATGGCAGGAATATGTGTGAGAATGTGCACATGTTGCCACTATCTATGTATTTTTAGAAAAGAACAATGGTGCTTTGCATGGAAATAGCTTGATTCGAGTCTTTTTCTCCCTGCTTTTGATTCCCAGCTGTGCAGGGAGGATGCTGAACTTTTATTTTATTTTTTCTCTCTCCCTACCAGATCTGAATCTACATGCATTTTCCTGAACATGGAAGAATCCTGGAGACAACGGAGTCCAGCAATAAAAATGTGGTGCTGTAAGGGTTGCTGCATGCAAGTCCCCGAGGGAAGGCCAAGGACACTAGAAATGGGCAGACCGCAGCTCAGGCTCTCCTTTCTAGGGTGAAATCTTAATACAAGGTATAAAATAGCAGAGTTGGAAGGGACCTTATAGGTCATCTAGTCTACCCCCCCCGGCAATGAAACATCGGCAAGAAAACCATCCAGCTCAGAGAGCACCAAAGACCCCACAGTCTTTCTCCTCCTCCACTTCGCAAACCCCACTCTCCCCTAGGTCTGATGATGTTCTCTAGTTGGGTCATAAAACATCTGCAAAACAACAACAACAACAACTACCCAGCACAGAGAGCACAGAGGATTGCACAATTTAATCCTGAAGTACAAATCTTGTTTTCTATCCATTTTGGAATTTCCACCCAAAGTTGTTAAGGGAGCAGGAAACTGGATGGCACACACACACACACCCCGCCAAAGCCCAGCATAGTTTAGTTTCGGAAAAGTTAAATATTGTATAAGAGAACACCACCAGGCCCAGCCCTGTATCTTTGCTTTCTCTTCCATCTGAATAATTCACTGGAAGCCCAAGTAATTTCAGCAGAAGTCTCAAGAGGGAAGAGACAGAGAGAGAGAGAGGAAGGAAGGGGGGAGAGGAGAGAGGACAGAGAGAGGGAGAGAGAGAGAGGGAGGGAGAGGAAGAGAGAGAAAGAGAGAGGAAGAGAGAGAGGAGGGGAGAGAGAGAGGAGGGGAGACGAGGGAGACAGTGATGGGGAGGGAGAGGAAGAAAGAGAGCGAGAGGGAAAGAAGGTACTCAGCCAGACGCTTCGAAGTGGGAGTCAACACAGGCTATTTGTCTTTCCAGCAGGCGGGCAGTGTATTAGTCACCTTGCTCTGATTAGGGGTAATTTAAAAATATAATCTCATTTAAAAGGGGAACTTTCCCAACCTGGGAAAATCCACTCCTCCTCCTCCTCCTGCTTCAGAGCCGGGTTCACAAGAGCTTCTCACTTCGGCTAATTAGCCAAGCTATTTTATGCTCTTTGTTTAGTTTAATTTAGCCCCTCCACAAACTGCTGTAAATAAATGGAGCTGGCCAGGGCAACAAGGAGTAAGATCCTCCTGATTGGGGGATATTTTCCCATTCTTTTTTTCCATGTGTGTGTGTGTGTGTGTGTGTGTGTGTGTGTACACATGGGAGGCGGAATTGGGTTTCCATTTGTTGAACCCCATCTCCTAACCGAGGAGAGAAGCTACCTAGAACTAAGGAGGAATTTCCTGACAGTGAGAACAATCAACCAGCGGAACAGCTTCCCTCCAGAAGTGGTGGGGGCTCCATCCCTGGAGGCTTTCAAGAAGAGACCGGACAGCTGCTTGTCTGAGATTGTACATCGGCTCCTGCTTGAGCAGGGGGTTGGACTACAAGACCTCCAAGGTCCCTTCCACCTCTCTTATTCTGTTCTGTTCTGGGATGCAAACATCTCAGGGGCCCAGCTACTCCTGCTCCTGTCAAGACAAACTAGGTGAGGGCTTCATATGTACTTTTGAATACTGTGAAAAGAAAAGAAAAGAAAAGAAAAGAAAAGAAGAAAGAAAGAAAGAAAGAAAGAAAGAAAGAAAGAAAGAAAGAAAGAACAGCTGCCACACGGTGCTGATGAGACCTCGTCACCTTTCCTCCAGGCAGCGGAGAACACAACAATAGATGGTCGAGCTGGATGCGATCCAAAATAACCCACATTTTCGAGTAGACGCTTCTCATAAATGGATTTGAGAACGCTGCAAGCAACGAAGAAGGTCAGCAAGCGTTCGCCTGCTGTTGCGCTGCATAGTATCGCATTGGTACAATACTATAAATAAAAATCTATCAATGGCTTCCAGAAACAGAGGGGAATTGCCAAAGGGGAAGGTGCCACAGCGGAGACGGCAGCATGGAAGGGCTCCACTGATCTCCAATCTTCTGCCAAAATTTTTCTAGAAGTTCACAAATTGTGTACAGGGTTCTTCATCAGCCATTCGCCGGTTTCTGGGAGTGGGTTGCTCTTTAGAAGAGAATATTTGTAACTCAGGGTTGAACGGTGAGATCTTTGGTCCTCTCTGAGCTTGTTGGTTTTCTTGTGGATATTTCATAATCCAACTAGGTAACATCATCAGTGCTACCCATGTTTCCCCGAAAATAAAACCAGGTCTCATATTAATTTTTGCTTTCAAAAGGCGCATTATTTTCCGATTAAGTCTTATTTTTAGGGAAATACGGTACTAAATGCATCTGTCTGGCTGACAAGATTAACTGAAGCTTATTTTGGGGGTAGGGCTTATATTACAAGCATCTGGGGAAATCATGCTAGGGCTTATTTTCTGGTTGGGCCTTATTCTGGGGGAAACACAGTAGAAGGGAATGCTAGAGTCCCGCTCCCTTCTAGCACTGATGATGTTACCAAGTAGGA